ATGCGTTCTGGCAATAAAATAACATTTAAAAAAAAAGATCAAAGGGAGCATAGAGAAATCAAATATTGTTGAGTGGTAGAAGCACGGGACTCCCACATGACTGACTGTGGTTCAAGTCCCGGACCAGCGGCTTGAAACTCACACATATGTGTGTATGCGTATTCAAAATCCTGTGAGAATGGAGGAGAAGGGATTGTGGCATGGCCACTCCCTCAGTCGGGGAAGGGTGATTTTTTTGCTTATTGTCTCTCTGGCAAGCTCACATGCCCTATAGCAAAATCCTCAAAAAAAAAAAAAAAAAAAATACTTTTTTGAGTTTACCTTTTATGTTTAAATCCCTGCTACAATTTTATTGACAATGAATAAACTGATGTCCACAACTCTGTCTGCCACATCAATTTTATTGTTTTCATTTTCAAACGTTCTTGTAGTCATAGACGCACATAATTAAAGAGTCCAAATCAAAGAGTTCTGGGAGGTTTGCTATAAAAACTAGTCCTTCGCCCAGCTGCGGCGGTGCACACTGCTATGACTATGCTCTGTAGGTTGGGACCACATGGGCAGCCTGGGTTTGAGTCCCAGTCCAACCTACAGGCCAGGCCCAGTGGCATGCAGCTGTAGTCCCAGCTATTCGGGAGGCTGGGGCAGAAGGGTCACACATGCAGGCTAGCCAGGGCAGCACAGTGAGACCCTATCTGCAAAAAGGAGCTGGGTGTGGGGCACACGCCTGCAGTCCCAACTAGAAGGCTAAAGCAACAAGATCAAGACACAGTAAGACCCTATCTTTAAAAAAACAGTAACAGGGCCAGCCAGTGGTGAAGGTGGCTGAATCCCACATGGCTGAGTATGCAGTTCAAGTCCCAGACTCGGCGGCCAGGCATTCGTGCATACGTGGTCAAAATTCCGAGAGTAGAATGACGGGACTGTGGTGTAGCCGTCCCCACTAGGGCCGTTAAGTAACCTTTTCCTCTCTCTCACTGTCTCTCTCCAGCGAGTTCATGCACCCTACAGCAAACAGAAACAATAACAAAAACAAAATACAGTCCCTATATTGAGGGCTCTCACTCAAGAGAACTGGAGTCTGGCTGATATTTCAGTAGTTAACTGCCCTGTCTCTGAATACAGAAGTAACTTGCTCAAGTCGGTACTTCTTGATTTTTATTTTTATTATTGTCTCTTGACTGTGGCTCCTTCCTTCTCCAACCCCACTACATACCCTCATTTCTCCAATACAAATTTCATAACATGGGCTAGCTCAGTGATCGGCGCTTACATTACAAGTAAATGTTCTTCATCTTCCATTGAATAAACTATGTCTCCTGTCCTGCCCAGCTTTTCTCGGTTGCCTGTAGTTAGTAACTACCTTTTCTGTACGACCTTGGACTGCCTTGTCTTTTTCTTCTCTTAGATAATTCAGGGGCCAGTGGGTGGCATGGTGGTGAAGGCACTGGACTCCCTTACGGTCAACTGCAGTTCGAGTCCCAGACCCAGTGGCTTGAAGCGCACACTGGCCGCCTGTGCGTGCACCCCCAAAATCGTGAGGAGAAAAGAGGAGGGACTGCAGCATGGCCGTGCCCCATGGGGAGTGATTTCTCGCTTTCTGTCTCTCTGTCTCTCCCGCAAGCCCATACACCCTAAAATCTCTTAAAAAAAAAAAAAAAAAGAAAAAGAAAGAAAGAAAAAAAACAATACTTCAACCCCAAACTTTTTGTCACTTATCTACATCCCAAAATCTCAACGGCAGATCTGGTATTGGATCAAATTCCATCTTCCTGAAGAAGTCTCTCCCAGAGTTTTCTGACCTACCCCAATTTGGCAGTTGATCCTCCACAGTTGGGGTACAGTTTATCACCCTGAAAATAAGATTTCTGAAATGATGAAAATGTTCTCCTGTACCTGTGGCTACCGATGTACTGAAATACAGCTGGTACAAGTAAAAACCTGAATTTTAAGTTTCACCTAATTTCAACTACCTGAAGTGGCCTGGGGACTACTAATTAAATAGCTCTATGGCCTGTGTGCACCATACTTAGGACAACACAGCTCTAGAGAGAGCTTCTTCCACTCAGTGAGTGATAAAGTTACAGTCACCATGCCTTATCCCACACTTGTAGAAATACCCAATAGACTAAGACCCTTTTCTTCCTAGGACTCAGCACATCACGGTTAAGACAAACAGCTAGCCAGTTGTACAAAACCCCCTACGTGTGTTCAGGTTAGGTGTTCACTCTCTGGTCTCAGAGCCTACATATAAAAAATCAGCTAATCTCTGAGACCAGAAGATGGCATAATGGTTACATGGCTGGACTCCCATGCAGTCGATTACAGTTCAAGTCCTGGACCCAGTGGCTTGAAACTAATGCTAGGTGCACCTGTGTGTGTGCCCAAAATCGCAAGAGGAGAAAGGAGGAGAGATTGCAGTGTGGTCAGCCCCCCTCGGGAGTGATTTCTCCCTTTGTCTCTGTCTCTCCGGAGAGCACACAAGCCCTATAGCAAAAATCTCTCTTTAAAAAACAAATCAATTAATTTCAGCACCCTGGACACCCGAGTGGGTCCAGCTGGCCTTTCCCCTAATTCTTCCTTTTCATCCTAAAACACTAACAGCTACCAAGGAGGCTGGGGTGAAGGCAAAAGGTTTCCCCGAGTCCTCCCTGAAGGACAGGTGGTAATGCTCAAAGGCGCCAAGCTCTTCCAGGGTAGCCACGATTCTTTGATCCACCGGGGACCTGACGATAAGCTGCAACATACACGGAGCCCTCCGTTGTCTCACTGAACCTTCCCCGCTACCCTACAAGGGCGTTCTCATTTAATTCCAGAGGAAAAAGACACACTTGGTGGGGTTAAGTCACTTGCTCAGCGTCCCACAGAAACGCACGGGCGGGGACTCAAACCCCAATCTGCACGATCCAAAGCCTATGCTCTTAAGTCCCTGCACCCGGGTGCCCCAGACACATCTGCCAAAATCGAAGTTCACGGAAGGCTCGGCGTGCCCCGGGGCTCCCTGCCAGGGGGCTTCCGAGCCACGGAGCGGGACCTGGGAAAGGTGAGCTGCAACTGCGCGGTCGGGGAGGGCCCCGCCGGGCTACG